ATTGACCCATGTCCAATAAGACAATTGACCCTCGTAAGATTCTTTTTAGCTAATAGATCCTTGTAAAATTTTAAGATACAATATTTATACATAGTTTTAAGCCCAATAAAATATTATTTATACATAGTTCTCAAGTATTTTCACACCTTTGATTTTGTTTTCTATCTACAGTTGATGTTGCTTGTTTTGGGTCTCACTGATAACTTATCAAAGGCTTTACAAAGGAAAGACCAAGATATCTTGAATGCTATTTCATTGGTGGAATCTACTAAAAGTCAATTGCAAAAGCTTAGAGATGATGGATGGGATGCTTTTATGGTTGAAGTTAGTTCTTTTTGTGATCAAAATGACATTGGAATGCTCATAATGGAGGAAGAATTTGTTGATCCAAGAAGATCAAGGAAAAGAACTGGCATAACCAACATGCATCACTATAAGGTGAATTGTTTCTACATTGTCTTAGATATGCAACTTCAAGAGTTTAATGATCGTTTTGATGAGGTGAATTCTGAACTACTTCTTTGCACATCATCTTTGAGTCCGATTGATTCATTTTGTCAGTTTGATAAGTCGTTGCTCAAGAGATTGGCTGAGTTTTATCCAGACGACTTTGATTTTATGGAGCGTAAATCTCTTGATCATCATCTTGACATCTACCTTGATAATGTGCAAAAAGATGAAAGGCTTACAGATTTAAAGAGTCTTGGTGATCTTGCTCGTGTGATGGTGGAGACAAGAAAACATCTTTCACATCCTTTGGTATATCGGCTTCTGAAGCTATCTTTGATTCTTCCTGTTGCGACTGCAACCGTCGAAAGATGTTTCTCCGTAATGACTTTCGTGAAGACGACTTTGCGTAACCGTATTGGTGATGTATTTTTAAGTAATTGTCTAATTTGTTTTATCGAAAAACAGGTACTTGACAATATTACAAACGAATCGGTGATAAAACGATTCCAAAACATGAGTGAACGTCGAATGTATCTTTGAAATTTGTATTTGTCATGACTTTTTTATTTTTTAATTTGAATTTCTGCTTTTTTAGTTTAAAATTTTTTTTGACCCCGACGAGTAGATTTTCTGGCTCCGCCACTGAGCAATCATCAACTCTTGAGCTAGCTTTTGGGTTAAGTTAGGCTATATTCCTAATAATGTTACATAGAATATATGATTTCACGATTTATATAACGGAGAACGGGAGACATATTTTGATATATATATGTACAAAAAATATATATATATAGGGGCATGCATGGAGACAGACTTATTTGGTATTCAAAACGACTCTGACATGACGAGTTTTTTTAAAATTGTTCATTGTAATTTCTAGTATAAATTGAATGAGGTAGAAAAACATTATGGGATCAAAATTCAACCAGTGTTGCGGAATTGGTTGTCCAGTGTACAGTACAGAGGATGACATTTGATGGACTGCTTCACAAAAAATAAATGTTAATGTATAAAGAATTCCTATGTTGGAATTCACATTAAACGATGAACAATAATAATTACTTGTCGTAACAAAATAAATAGTACATCATAAAATAATTTGAAACATATATCACTGTTGTCGAGTCATAATTTTGTCAACCTGTAAATCTTCTATTGAATGGATGTCAACAATAAAACGATGACATCAGGGTTTCGGTTGTAATAAGATTAACTGAAGAACTTAGCCCATTCTTATGTTCTTTGATGTCACTTCTACATGGTCACTCCCACGAGCTTTGTTACCAGGCCGGTATGGCTCATTTTCAAACTAAAGTTACGGAAAAATATTCGTTATATCTGTTTTTATTCGTTATCCGCTCAAATCATTCAAAAATGTGGATAGCCAATAGCTTACAGAGTTAATCTGGATATCAAAAACTCACATAGTTATAATATCTTATCTAATAGTTATCGTTTTAAGTTTTCTTATTATTTTCTTAAATCTAATCACACAATGATATGTAATACATAAATGGCATTTTTCTTAAGTTGAACACCTTCATCTTTCTTTGCCTCCACATACGGTAAAAAATCTGATTAACAAAGAAGCTTGAACCGATATAAAAATAGAATAGCTAGCGAGCTAGACACATATCATATATACACAGCATGATACCTTAAATATATTTTTGTAAACAAAGTTGAAACATCCTTTTCAAATATGGATATCTCAATCTCCACATCTTCACAGAAGAAAGTTATTTCTGTACTTTCAATATATTTTACGTGTTTTGGAAAATTCAAAATTGGTTGTCTATCTCTGTTTGTCCGGGATTTTTCGGACAAATTCGGAAAAAAAGCCAGAGATATCTATTAAAGTAAAAAAATGACTTTTGAAATTAAAATCTCTATATTTCAGGCCTATCATGTTGCTCCACATGGGACAACCATACCACATCCCAAGAAACACTCACAACAACATCAACCTTATCTTGTTTCTTTTTTCATCTTTCATTTAGTTTTTGTTTTTCAATTTCAACCACAGATTTACAAGATTCATATCTCAAATGTTTTGGGACTTCTAGAAACCCTTCATGTGACTTCTGTTTGTATATATACATAGAACTCATATATGATACTTTCAAAACACTTTTTTGTCAATATTCCAGTTAGCTGCAGTATTATCTTTCGTAATAAAAATTAGATTTTTGTAATAAAAATTGAATTATGGATCAAGTTTTGTCGACCCAACAATAATAATAAAAAATCTATATATTAGATGGAAACAGATAAAACTTCATTTGTAATGGTAGAAAGTAAATTAAAGGATATGCAAGAAACTTAAATTATTTATAATTTGTTTTGGTTTCACACTTTTATATAGTTGAGCCGAGTTAATCATGTTCTCAGTTCTCACTGTTGTCTACACGCATTAATAATGTATAAAACGACAAATCTGTTTTTTTTTGGTTTAACCATGGTCCATGCTTATTATAGACACGTGCTTAAATTCGATAAAAGTCGTATACTTTAAAAATATTTTTCTTTCCTTTTACATTTTAGAATATTTGAGATGAAGTTTTCACACTTTACCTTCGATAATAAAAGTGTCATGTCATTCTTTCTTGTTTGAATCATTTTGATCATGTGAATATATCATACACGGAGAGAAGCAATTATTTGATGACGCGTTTAAGCCGTTAAAAATGACATATTGGCTTGTACTACATCAGCTGAGCACATGTCACAAACAATATAATAAATACAAGTAAAATGGTTAAGAAAATCTAGCATCACCTCACCACCTTGTACAACCACTTCACTTTATATTTTTGCAAAAAAAAATCATAAATACGTACATTTTTAAGTGTTAAAAAATGGCAAAATCCGTAAATTATTTAAAAAAAGGCATTTTCGTAAGTTTTTTTTTTTAAATGGCATTTTAAACAATAATCCTATTTTAGTAGTTTTACATTTGTACTACTCTTTTTCTTTTAAACAAATGCAATGCGTTTATTTTGTTAAAGCACACTTTCGTATAATTCCTATGATTGGTTACATTACATAAAAGGCCTTACAATCCTTACCACTTCTATTTTATGTAACTAATCAAAACCATAATCACTATATTTGATTGTCTATTTGTTTTGTCTGGGACAAACTATTTAACAAATTAAACCAAATCCTGTTATATTTTCATATGGTCCAAAAATTAAATATAGTTTTTTAATTTGTGAAGAGAGATGAGACCTCTATCACCTTTGTCTTGATATGTTTGTAGCTATTGTAGGAGAAGAAAACATCTACTTAAAACAAAACTTAAACTAAGGGATAATCTTTGTCCGAAAGAGATAGATAGATGACTTTCATAACGAAAAAAAATATATATATACATATACAAAACAAAAAGTACAGATACAAATTACAAGAAACTTATATGTATACACTGAAAAAAAGATAATTATATTATAGGAAAAAAAAACAAGAAAAAGTGAATGATTGTTGGGAATTATTTCTCGTAACATGAAAATGTCTATCATGCAATGATGATATGTGGACTAGAGAATTCACTAAAGAAGAGGGTCTCCCACATCAGTGATAAGTTTTGCACACCACAGCTCTGAGTAGGCGCATGAGTGTGAATGAGGAAAAATGAAAAGGATGAGAAAGCAAAAAGATTTCACACAGACGGAATTCGTTCGACCAAGAAAGACAGGTCTTTTGCAGTCAACGGACCATCCTCCTTCTTTCTATATTAATTATACGTCTAACTATTCCATAACATTGAAAAATTCACAAATATGTGAGAAAAAAAAAAGATACATGTCAACACTGGTCGATTATTTACTGTTTCTTGGATTTATTTACTTGACTTAGTGAAATTGTATCATCTGCAATCTGCAGTGCGCCAGTGCCTTAGCACTTACTCTTCTACTAATTAACCGTTCCAATAGTTTATTTAGTATATATCCTGACTATAGTTCCTATTAGCTATAAAGTACGACTATCATATTTTTGTTACTAGCCAAGTATAATACGTACAACGAACTAATACTATTCAGTATTCTGTATTCACATGTGTGGGTATAGAATAATAGTAATACCATTTTACCATTTATTATAACAAGATTATCTTACTTTAGTTCTAACTTCTAACCACTTTTGTTTCTAGGCTGTCTACGAATATTTCATTAAATATAATGATAAATAATCTATCAGACTAATTAACATTATTTTATTTAGTCAGTCACTTTAAAGTGACTAATTAAATAAAATAATGTAAGAAACCATAATTATCAGTATATATTCATTTTTATAGAACATTTATTAACAAATTTTTAAAATGTTCTATAAAAATTAATATATATTGATAATTTTGATTTTTTGATCAAACACAAATTTATCAAAACTTTCATGCTTACGAACAAATAAATATATAATCACAATTGAATTTTATTATTTTATTTTTTTCTCTTTTTTAATCTTCTTATTAGATTTTGATCTTTGGATAACTAAAAAAAATTAATATAACCAAAGATATATACTTACAAGAACTTGTCAAGGTGTTAGTTATGAACTTATGATCTTATTTTCTTCCCTTTTTGCCTAACACATAAATATTGGCAAGGTTTGGGTATTTTTGTATGGTTTTAGAAAAAAAATCTTGATACATTGATAATCAACTTTTCGAAATCTAGCCCTCACCCTACCAAAAAAAAAAAAAAACGAAATCTAACGGCAAGGAATTCGAAGTAAAATCCAACGGTCGAAATATAATAAAACCAAAACAGGAGGGGCTATAAATAATTGTACAGCCCTAATTAGAATAACATCCCATTACTCATTCTCTCGAGACCATTCTACTAAAGTAAAACGTGTAAAGAGAGAGAGACTCACTTTCAAATAAATAATTTAACTTATTTAAATAGTGTCTTTTCGTGAGGTGGTGAACGTGGCAATATTAGATTGGTTTTTTTTTCCCGGATAACGATATAGATTTGTTGGCCGGAGAAAAATGGGGAGGACGACGTGGTTCGACGACGAAGGGATGAAGAAAGGAGAGTGGACGGCGGAGGAAGACCAGAAGCTCGTCGCTTACATCAACGAGCATGGCATCTGTGATTGGCGTTCCCTCCCCAAAAGAGCTGGTATAATATAAACATGTCATTTATAGTTTGTGTTCATGGTAAAATTGTGTCTTCTTCTTCGCTTTTTCATTATATATCTTTTTGGAACAAGGGATTTAATCGTAGAAGTCTAGATAAATTCTAGTTGCTCATATTTATTGCATATATATGTAGCAAAATACTTCGATATTTATATTTATATTCATAAACATATTGAGAAGTGCATTTATATTTAAGGATATATGTATGTATTTATATTCATAATCATAGAGAAGTGCATGCATCTATATGTTTTGTTTTTGCAAACCAGTGTTACAACATATTTTCTTCTTCTCTGTTTTCTTAAATAAACTACTTTTTGGAACAAGGAGTTTATAGAAAGTCTAGATAAATTCTAATTGCTGCCTATGAAAGCAAGTTACTGCATGTATATATAGCAACAAAGTTGGGTTAAGAACATGTATAAATCAATTAGCCTTTAGAAAAAAAGACATGGGTACTTAATTATAGAATGTTTAACATTGTTTTTGGTTCGTATATATGTCTTTGAAATATTTTAAAATGGTTAGAAAATATTGCAGATACTTTGTTTGTACTTTTTTCCCTATTTTTTGCTGAAAGTTCTCATTTGTATTATTAGGGACTATGATGAGTTAAGTCATAACTCATAAGTGGGTATATTACACACCGAAATTATCGGGATTGGAAATTTGCTACATATGTAAAGATTCTCATCTACATGCTGAAGTGAATAGTAGAATCCATGTTCTTTGGATTCAAAACACTGATGACTTTTTTTCCTTTAATGATTTTAACCAAAATAAGAATGAAAATTAAAAAGTACGTACACATACACCCATATTTTATAATGGTTTTTAGTCCATGATTGAATATAAATTTTTTAGATGATTATTTTATTCGTCCCCGAATCTATTTAGTAGAAACTCATACCAATTCTATCCATATGATACTATAAAAAATGATTGCTATCTATTAACGGTGCCCAAGACCGACAGGTGTTCCCTGGGCTTTGTCCATATACATACTTAGTGGTTGGAAAAAAATCATTTTTTCAAAAGACCCAATCTCGAAATGTTAATTAAAGCTTTACATTTTCCTTGCTTTCCAGTTCTCCACTGTTGCTAAAAAGTTTAATTCTTGGCAGCTACTTTTGTTTGCCACTACGTACGAAAGCACAATAAAACTCTTTTTCTTTTTACCATAAAAATTGCCATTTCGAATTATTTATCATGGAAAACAGGTTTGCAGAGATGTGGAAAGAGCTGCAGATTAAGGTGGCTTAACTATCTAAGGCCTGGGATTAGAAGAGGCAAATTCACTCCTCAGGAAGAAGAAGATATCATCCAACTTCATGCTGTTCTTGGAAACAGGTTAGTTTTAAAATTTTTTACATCAAAACGGGAATATCAAAAAGTTTAATTATCTATCAAGTTATATGCACAATACTAAATATATGTAACATTATATACTTTGGTAGAATCCATATATATACACTTTAGTAATGATTAACCACTAGCTCTAACGTTAATTTATATTGAAACTGAGAGCATGTGTAGTGGGAGGTTCTAATACAATGATTAACAAGTGTTTTCAAGAATTAATACAAAAAATGAAAATAATAAAAAACTAAGATAGAGATATGAGCATGAGTTCTCACATGAGAACTTTTGAGAACTTTTTGAGAGACTTATGTCACACATGGCAACTTGTAATTGGTTATAAATAAAATTTATTACTTAAAATTTAATTATACAATTAAATTAATTAATGTATACTATAATAATATATTTTAAGAGACTTCGAGAGAACCTCCCACTGTACATGCTCTGATATTTCCACGAATTTCGGAGATTAATTAATTTAACTTTTATTTGGGATCTTCCGTTTTTTTTTTCAAAGATATCTTATTATTTTTTTTTTTTTGATAAAGGGCATTCTAAATCTTGTTGTTGGTACTCTTGAAAAATTGCAGGTGGGCAACCATAGCGAAGCAGATGCAGAATCGGACAGACAATGATATCAAGAACCATTGGAACTCTTGTCTCAAGAAAAGACTTTCGAGAAAGGGAATCGACCCGATGACCCACGAGCCCATCATCAAACACCTCACTATCAAGACCACTAACGCAGATTGTAGTAGCTCTTCCACCACGACGTCCCCATCGCTGGAAAGCCCTCATTCCTCCGGCTCGGCTCGTCTCCTCAACAAGCTCGCCGCAGGTATCTCATCTAGACAACACAGTCTCGATCGGATCAAGTACATCTTCTCGAAGCCAATAATCGAAAGCAATGATCAAGTAAAAGAGGAAGAAGAAGAAAAAGAAGAAGGAGAAGAAAAAGAAGAAGGAGAAGAAAAAGATTCAATGATGGATCAGAAGATTGACGGTAGTGAAGGAGATGATATTCAGATATGGGACGTGGAGGAAGTTAGGCGTTTAATGGAGATTGGTGCAATGGAGTACGAGATGACTTCGTACGACGCTGTCATGTACGACAGTACTCACATACTTGATCATCTCTTCTGACTCAATGTAGTGTGAGTGCATGGATGTGTTGTTAACATATGCTAATTTAGCTATGCTTTAATTAATGTTGCAAAAATGAATATTAACGTGGACCAGCTCAGTTATATCAAGTGTCTAGATCGGGTATACGGAACAAGATTTCCTCCCTTCAACTCAGATCTCCGCAAACATATATATGCCGATGGCCTTCCGATATGGTTCGACTGGCAAGCTTAACTTAATTCATAAACTCTGTTTCTTTTTCTAAAACTTTTGAAAGAATGATGCATTCATTGTAAAAATAGTTTTTTGTATGAATAAAATTTTACATTCATTCAAAAATAAAAATATTAACGTGTACCCGGCCACTTTGACTTAGAGAAAATAGTTCCCTAAACATAAAGAGCAAGTCGTGTAGCATATTTTATCCAGAAAAAAAGAGTGAGAGAGAGTGTTTAACATATAAAATAGGTTTTTCAGTTAGGACATACAATTGTAAAAATAAATTTAAACGAAATCCTGGGAAAGATTTTAATTTAATTTGATTAAATATTTGATGTAAAAATAAGTCTATAATATTTTTAAAGAGATGGAAAACTATATAATATATCTGTAATGTAAGGTCACGCTTGCAGAAGATATATAAACATTTAAATGCTTATGGAATATTTAAATATTTATTATATATTGAAACAAATGTTTGTTAATAAGTGGCATAAATATATATATTGCTGCAGTAAGAGTACTGTAGTAAAAGATTTGATCTTGCCAAAAAGAGATATGAGCCCAAAAAAAAAAAAAAAACGAGGTAAACGGAAAAAAATGTAAAAATGTAAGCGGGCCGAGTGGAGCAACTGCTATATTCATAAATTATTTTAGTAATCAGTATAAAACACATCATTTATAGTTTTACTAATATCATTTATGTATATTATTTTATTTCACAAATAAAAAATAAATTATATGGATTTATGTATGTATTATAAGTATTTCATTATAATCTAATACATTTAAATTTATTGAAACATAGTAATAATACTGATAAATATATTTTCAGGTATAATTCAAAATATTAGCATAATATAATTAGAAACATACATAAAACATATTTATAAATAATTTTAATTTATGTAGAATATTTTATTTAAAATTAACGTTTTTATAATATAAATATTTTATCTGCACCGTCTGATCCGCTTTCACCATTCAACACATATTTTAAAGCATTCGAACCGCTTGATCCGCATTTGTACCGCTAGATCTGCTTGATCCGCTTTTGTTCTGCTTTGTACGCCTGATCCGCTTGATCCGCTCCGCCCGATACGCTTTCTCCATTCGGAGCCGATATATTGCTGCAGTAAGTCATTGCAAATAAGTCAGAATGATAGGCAATAAGCCTATTGCTTACAGTCTTAGGGCCTGAATGGAGACTCGGTTCAAAAGCGGTTTATAGGCGGAGCGGACGTAACGCAAATATTTTGCCATTCACACATATGAGAGAAAGCAAGCAACTTTCCAAAAAATAATAATAAACAATTAACTTGGAACGCCGTTTTATGAAGAAAATATGTGATCTGCTTTGTACAGTAAAAACTCTTGTTATTTGCTGTGGTTGTGATGTGTTCATACTTCTTAGCATTTTTAAATATTTTTTAATATCATAGTTTTTGAACTAATTCATAATATTTATATTGAATAATTTATATTCAATTCAAATCTACTTATTTTATAGTTATACAAATATATTTATAACCATAAGTGTATATATATATATAATATTTGTAAATCAAATTTTCTAAATTAAATATCTTTATTGATTTCAAAATAAATATATAATGACAAATTAGATAATTGTTTAGAAGAAAACTTATCTGTTATACTTGTTAGAATTTTGTTTTAGTATTTTGTATCTAAAACACTAAGATATGTTAATAATACCAAAATCATGTAAATATTTTACAATGAATTGAAAAAATAAATATTCAAAAATGCAAAATAATATTGTACTTTTTAATTTAATATAATTATTATTATGTGTATAATATTCTGTAAATTAGCTTATTTTAATTTAATATTAATTTGTATAACTTTTTAAAATATTTTATCTAACAATTAATATTTTTTGTTATGTAAATATTTAAACCGCACGACTTGAACCGCTTTCACCATTCAAACATTTTTTCGACTGCCAGATCTGCTTGATCCACACTTTTTCCGCCAGATACGCTTGATCCGCATTTGTTCCAATCGATCCGCTTGGTACGCTTGATCCGCTCCGTCCGGTACACTTGGTACGCTTGATCCGCTCCGCCAAGTACGCATTTGTTACTGACTTATTTGCAATGACTATTTGTAAAAAATGGCTATTTCTGTTTTTTTTCGAACATGAATATTTGACAAAAATATGATATTACCACAAATCACTATATTATATTTTACGAATTTGGTTAAAATAATAATAATAAAAAATCAAGTAAGTAGCTTTCTCTGTTTTCTCTCTAAAATTTGTGAGAAAAAGAGAAAGTCGAAAAATCTTTTTGCCTTCCGAATTTTTTTTCGGCTTCTATCTGCCGATTAGTCGGGATTATCTTCTGGCGGCTACCAACTTTTATTGGTGTTGGTAAGCTTTCGTCTAGCCTAAAGGCCATAACCAATGAAATAACTTGGTTTTGGTCATGGATATTTTCACATGTCATGCTCGTGCCTGTGTTTAGCTTGGACTCTTAAAGCCCACTTTAGCCGAAACTTGATGTTGCAAAACTTGGGTATTTAGCTAGAACCGAATTTCTAAAATGAATTTGAATCCAAGCCGAATTGAGGTTAACTATAAATTAATTGGTACAATTTTGTTCTACAATCAAAACCGTAACTATGTTTAATCCAACCATAACTATGTTTAAGCCACGCATATAATTATTAACATTGATTCAAGTCATGAAATTTAGTTTTTGATGGGTATAACACAAACTTTTGGTACCAATCATTGACTTTCAATTTTATGTTTGTTCATTTTATATGTTCATCTCAATTGTTTTTCCTTTTTGATGTCCAATTTATTGTCATTTTTGTGTTTCCTTTTTCGTAAAAAAAAATAGTAGATGACAAAAACAAATTACTCACTATATCCCATTTTATAAGATGTTTTGTGTAAAATCACAAAGATTAAAGAATAATTAAATAAATGGTCATAACATATTAAATAAACATAAATTATACATAGAAATCTGCGAAAATTTTATAAATTGAAACAAAGAAAAAATGCTAAAACATCCTATAATTTGGGACATGGGAGTACCAAACACAAAAAATTGAAGGTCCACTAAAACAAAATTGACCCCTCTACTTTTCTTCATGTTTAGGATAAAATGTTTTTTATATTTAAAAAAATTAGAGAACTGATATATTTGGTAAATAACAAAATTGACACTTTGATTCAGAAAATTGAATTGTCTACATTTCTGACCCATCATGCTGCTCCACATGTGACATCTCTTATCAACTAGTCAATGAAATCAAGGTGATGATGAAAAAAAGTAAGAAATTAAGCCATTAAGGTCTCTATAGGCTCACAACAACATCGACTCTATCATCCTGTTTTCCAAAAAAATATTCCTTTCGTCAATGATTCAGTGTGAACCATATATAAAAATATATATATGTATATATTCAGGCATAAACTTTAAATTTTGCCCAACGACATAATTTATAGTTTTATATGTAATTATGTAAACATATGTTTCCAATTCAAAACTAGCTAATTGATGATTTGTAAGAAAATGCATGTTATTAATATAACTTTCGATTTTTAACATGTATCCTTGAGTTCTAGACAGAATTACCATTTGTATCGTTATATTCGTCATAGTTTATTGTGCTATACTACTACGTGATTCTTGTAATTCGATTATTTTTTATAATATTTCTGATATTGTGTGAATATGCATGCAATTCTAGTTCGAAATCAATTAATAATAAGTAGATTAACTATTATAATATGTTTCTTATGTTTCACAAAGATTAATATGTTAATACGAATACACAATTTGTACAAAACCTCGATAAATCCAAATCATCCATAAAATCTACATTTAACTATTTTTTACTTTTAACTTAATTAATTTATAAAAAAAAAAGCTTAATGAAACTGTAGATTTATTTTATCAAAAATAAGTTCTATAAAAATCGCGCATACTGAATGTTCGTATGCAAATAATGAGAGTACCAGACACACATGTTTAAGCACATTTTCCGTGGTTATATACTACTTATATACGATCTCATTATCTCGACCACACCAAAAGGTCCAAAACATTCCATTTGAGAAAATTAAATTTCTAGTGGCGTTTTATCTTCACGCGTCCATGTATATTGCTTCTCTCCATATTAACATAATAAAAATAATTAAAAACAAATAAATGAAATCATCGTAGATTTATTATTATACGCAGCAAAGGAAAGGGACATACACTTAATTTTCCGAAAAATGGGACAAATCATATTCTTTCAAGAATTTGGTTTTTATGGAAGAAGTAATATAAGCACGTGTGAAGAGACAAGAGATTAGTTACTACATGGGCCATATATAGAGAAACTATGAAAACGATTTTCTTAACCAAACAACAGAAAATCATTTATTTTCGTAGAACTAAAATTTTTAAATAAAAATGCAGAATTTACCATTTTTTGTATAATTAGTTGAAATATCTTTTCCTTGACTTTATACTTTTTTATATATTAGACAGAAGCAAAGAGGAAGAAAACTAGTATTTGACATGTCAAAGCTGGAAATGATGTGAAAAAAAAATTCAGTACATGAACTATTAAGAATTATAACTCTTTAACTTATACATCTCTGGCCAAACCTTAACTACATAACTCTCGGCAATTAAGTGCCAATTCAACACATGAAGTTAAATAGTTAATTACTCTTGGCATATACGACTCATTTCAGTAATTTTTGTAACTGTTTTACATTAAAATTGTTTTTTTGAAAAAATCTTAAATAACATGAGGGGGTTCAAATCTAGTAATTAACCAAAAAAAAAAGGAAATAATTATATAAACCAAAAACAACATTTCTTTTCTTTCTTTTTAGTCAAATAAAGAAGAGAGGCTATTTATACACTAGCCTCTTACTCTCACTCATTCAAGAGGACCATTTATAAATAAATAAGCCAAAGCTTGTGTGAATCTGAAAGCGCTCAATCTTTTCATATAAACTATTTACTATCCTTAAAAAATTTCCCATCTCGTCTCCTATCTTAAGGCTAACACGTGTGGTGAGAGATTTTATGGGGAGACCGACGTGGTTCGACGCCGACGGGACGAAGAGAGGAGAATGGACGGAGGAGGAAGACCAGAAACTCGTCGCTTATATCGACGAATACGGCATCGGTGACTGGCGTTTCCTCCCTGGCAGAGCTGGTATGTATCTAAGCTCCAGATTTAACTAAACGAAGGATGCATGTGTTCCAAGTTCCATGTGCTGTTTTTCACATCTATATATACTAACAAATATACTACTGTATATACATATATTAAAAAGTCATATGATCCTCAAACTTTTGAGTCACATAAATTTCGAAAAGTTAAAATCTTCCCAATTTTTGTTTCCATTTTTTTCTTTGTCAATAATTAAGTACATAAATTATACCGTCCTTTGTTTACTACCCTTGTGTTTGCCACTATTTATACAGTCCAACAAAAGCACAAAATTTACATTTATGGTGATAATTTACTGCTACTTTTTCACATTTTTAATCTTACATTTATGGTGATCAAAAAGGTTTGCGGAGATGTGGAAAGAGCTGCATATTAAGGTGGTTTAATTATCTAAGGCCTGGGATTAAGAAAGGCAAATTCACTCCTCAAGAAGAACAAGCTATCATCAATTTACATTCTGTTCTCGGGAACAGGTTAATTACTCAATTAAGAAATACCTCTTTGTCAGAATCCATATGTATGTCAGTACACGATTAGATTAGTAGTGAGGAAACTGCTTATATTCTTCTTCTTTTTTTCTGGAAAAGGGTTTTCGGAAACTGCTTATGTTAGTCAAACTGGCACCATATATTTGTAAGAAATAAATGTAAAAGACAATTTTATTACTTATGAATTCATTTTCATACTGCTAAAAGAGATATTATGAAAGGAAATACAAATGATGTATTAGTGAAACTGAAAATAATACTTTTAAAAACTTTAATTTGTGGTAGGTTGCTATATATATCCTGTATATAAAGTTTTAAGTAATAAAATCTAAATTCTATAAATTGAATAAAAATTGATTGATACATTAGATTTTTTTGGGTCGGAATTGATACAATTAATTATTCTGCGACTTTTATGTTAATGGTAATTTGTACTAAATTTTTTGCTGTTTATTGAAAATTGCAGGTGGGCAGCCATAGCGCAGCAGATGCCCAATCGATCAGACAATGACATCAAGAACCATTGGAACTCTTGTCTCAAGAAAAGACTCGAGAGAAACGGAGTTGACCCAATGACCCACCAGCCTATCATCAATAACCTCGCCGTCAAAACTCCGTCGTTTAACACAGAATGCAGCAGCTCTTCTTCCGCGACGGCGAGTCCATATTCTTCCTCCTTCTCCTCGCCCTCCGGCTCAGCCCATCTCCTTAACAAGATCGCCACTGGTATCTCATCTAGACAACACTGTGTGGACAACGTGATCAAGAACATCTTCTCGGATCCGAGAATCACAAGCATCCATGGTCAAGACGACCTGGAAGTAGAAGAGTTGAAGAAGGATGATGAGAAGATTCTAGCTAATGATTATCAAGAAGATGATTTTCTGATGTGGGACGACGAGAAAATTAGGCGTTTCATGGAGGAGATTGGTGTTATGGACTTGGAAACGATGTCGTACGATGGAGTCTATAGACTATAAATACTATCATTTGGAGTTTTAATGAACATATTTCCTTTGATTAATCAATATAGTGTACTGTGTTAGATCGTCGAGCATTCACATGTACCACTAGGACCTAGAGAATGATTTCTTTATAGCCAAGTGGCCCAAGTCTTATACTAACATATAAATGGTTGCAGAGGATCGGAATATGATAGGAAAGTTCATAAATTAAATTTGGTGATCGTGAAGAAAATCATCTGTTGTCTGTTGACAATAAAAGTATGCAATTCTTTCTTATGCTTTTTCTATTTTTAATACATATATACATTAATGGTGGCTTTTAAAGGGCTCTAAGCTAAAATTTCTTGAAATAAAAAGCCCAAATTTAAATCAAAATTGATGAGATATTTACGCCTTATACTTTTTCACTGTCTTTATGTTGGCACACATTATACTTTCTTCAAGTTTCTTTTGTGTGTTATGACTAATATACCCTTCAACCAAACCAACTCTTATGTCTTTCAATTTTAGTTATATTTATTCTTCTTTTTTTCTTCTTTCCTCATCACTACTCCGTCTCTCTCTTTCTTTTTTTCTCCAATTCTCTTTTTTTTTTTTTTTTCTCATTCTCTTTTCAATCACTTAAATTATTTAGTATCACATATATTGTATATTTTTCTTTCTACAATAAATTATGATTTCATTTTTACTATATTTTAAGATCTATTTTACTATATTTTAGGTGAATAATTATATTTTAGTTACTTAACATAGCATATATTGTATATTTTTTTATATAATAAATTAAGATTTAATTTTTTCTATATTTTTAGATCCATTGTTGCTATATTTTAAGTAAATAATTATATTACATATTATCTATTTCCGATTGAACATTTGTTTATTACTAAATGGATATTAAAAGGTACTTGAACAAACATACTATACCAATATTTATAACTACTGATCATCCAAACATATCCGCTAAACTCTGACCACATGGATGAATAAAGATAAAGTTTTTCGGTGGACTATACATCCGCCAATTTCGGTGGATAGTTCTGGATTTTGAAATTAGGGTAAGAAGAAGAAGAACAAGGTGAGAGATGGTGAAAGCAAAGCTTGAAAAAAGAGAAGAACATGACAAGTAAGGTATCCATCAAAGATTGTATATATGGATGATGGCAAGTATGTTGACTATCTTGGTGTTATTAACTTTCGTAAGTACTACGATGAACAAGTGCTTATGGTAAAATGGACAAGTGTTTATGGCCGAATCCAAGTGGATGATCTGAAAGTGTTTAGAGAACCTTAAATCCATTATGGTGTTGCTGGTTGTGATGGTGTCCCAAGCATGCAACAAGTCTTGATGATTTTCAATTAGCCGACAATACATAAGGTCTTCACCAAGCACATACAGTTACCCAAAACTTTTATTTGTGTTTTTTCAAGCTGGTGGTTATTTAAGTCATCCATTTGTTCGAATCCAGTAGGCTAGTACATGGATAGTATGAACATGTCGAAGCGAACAATTGTTCACAATGTCATGGATGGTATTATTAATAAACATAATTTGGCTGACACGTTCGTATGCAAATCCATGGTATGCAAAGCCACACACTCTGTTTCAATTAGGGTTGTGTTTGAAACGAGACTTTGGTTAGAGATGAGAGAATCTAAATCTTATGAGAAGTTACAAAAGTCTCATAACAAAAAGTTATTATGAGACTTACTATTACAAAAATATATCTAACTATCGATCATCCAAGCATATCCGCTAAACTCTGACCACATGGATTAATAAGGATAAGGTTTCTTGGTGGACTATACATGTGCCAATTTTTTATGTCCCATTTTAGTGTTTGAATGAGTATTTTCCTGCTCTCATGGTCAACTCCACATGGATAGATTATTTAAATCGTTAAAAGTGTTTAGTGTTTAAGGTTTAGGTCTAGGGTTTAGGGTTCATGGATTAAGGGTTTATGGATTACGATATACCGTTAAGTGTTACAGGTTTAGGGGTTAGGGTTTAGAGTTATACATTTAAAGAAGTTACAAAAGTCTCATAATAGAAAGTTACCATAACTGCCAATGGTCACGTCCACATAGGTACATCTGACACAGATAAGCTACACATTGACATCCTAAAACATGTCCTTTTAGTATTAAGGTTTAGGATTTATGTTAAAATATATTTTTTATACATTTAAACGAACTAACATATCGGTTTGGGTTTATAAGATAGGGATTAGGGTTTGTTGTTATACATTTAAACAAAGTTACATATCGGTTTGGATTTTTAAGGTAGTTAGGATTTAGAGTTATACATTTAAACGAAGTTATATATTGGTTTGGGTTTACAAAGTAGGGGTTATGATTTAGTGTTATTCATTAAAACGAATTTACATATCGGTTTGAGTTTAGCGGATATGCTTGGATGATTGGTAGTTAAAAATGTTGGTGTAGTATGTTTGTTCAAGTATCTCTGGATGTAAAGTTAATAACGAACAAATGTTCAATCACAAGTGGATAATATATAACATAGTTATTCATCTAAAATATAGCAAAATAGATCTTAAAATATAGGAAAAATTGAATCTTAATTTGTTGTTTAAAATAAAACGATAATATATATAATATTAAGTAATTAATGTGATAATTAAAAAAAAAAGAATGAGAAAAAAAATAAGAAAAGAAGAGAGAGAGTGGGAGAAAGAGATGTGGCGAAGGAAGAAGAAAAAAACAAAGAAAAGTGTTTGTATGGCTTGGTATTGTAAAGCAGGGGCATAATTGTATTGATTGAATTTCAACAGTAAAGAAAAGATGAAAATCTTAGAATGTGTCTCTTTTGTTATCAAACTCCAGAAAAGTATGCCATTGTGTAACTCTCCCCAAAATTGATATTAAACCCAAGAAACGTTTCTTGTTTTAGAGTTTTTTGGGTTGATAAGAGACTCTGACGTGTCACCGCGTCATTGGTTTGAAAAGTGAGAAAACAATTTTTTTTTGTTTCTTTCGCGATTCATTTTGCCCAACTCTCTCTTTCTCTCTCTCACTTTGTTTTCGCGATTCACAATGCACGTAAGAACGACCAAATCCAAATTCGATCAAATAAATCAAGAATAAACACAAATCAATTATGAATTAAACGAAAAAATCAAAGTTATATAATCAAGAATAAACACAAATCAATCGAGGGAAACACTCGTCTTCCTCATCAGAAACAGACATGTTGTTCAGTCGGTGAAGATCAAAACTCCGGCAACGATGGTTTTGTTTATGCGGCCAAGGAAGAGGGATTAGAGAGAGAGACAAGAGGGTTGGCGATTGGAATCGGTGGCGTGAGATTGGAGACGACCTCGAGCTGAATAATTTTGACAATGGGCCGAATAACATAAATGATCTATATATTAATAATTAAGCCCATAACTTTAACCCTCCTCCTTATCGTTAAAGTTAACGTCATTAATCCAAATTAGCAGATTTCTAAACGTGATTAAAAAAACTTTTAATTTTAAGAAACCCACTTAAGGATTTTACCACTGGACACAAAAAATTTTAAGGATTCATCACAAACTCTTAATTTTAAAATTATCATAATTTATGATTAAAAAATGTTTAAGAGTCCTTTTAAGGATTCCACCATTGGGCTTCTCTAAGAGCAGAAACTATTAGGAAAATAAGCATAAAAAGAGAAGAAGACAAAACTATTGTGATAATTGCAGTACTTTTTTTTTTCCTTTTTTTTTTTTTTTTGGTCCACGCTGCTTTGGATTTTATCATGCAACGTTATGTATTCAATGTACGAAGTTGATGTTTTTGTTTTTTCAAATTATTTTGATAATATCCTTTTGTATTATTTGTTATGAACTGTATATATAACATTGTTTGTAATAGTGATTTGTGAAACAAAACGAAGGGAATACAAAAATAAATACTAAGTATAAGTAATGTAGGATTGCTGGTAGAACCATATGCATTAATTACTAATTCGTCGAGTTACATTATTGGCTTGATGAGACACATAAAAAAAAAAACAAAAACAAAAAAATCCTAAGAAATTATGCTTTAATTATAAGTTTCATATTCAAAAGACGAATATCGATAAGCTTCCGATGTTCAAGCATGTAGCAGTAGCACATATATTACCCACACATATTATAGCTTTTCTTAATTATCGATATTTGAGAAAGAAAACAGAAGGAAAACGTTTCAAATCGAATGTAACGATCCATACACATTCTAGCTTTTTTTATCGATATTTGACAAAGAAAACAAAAAAAACGTTTCAATTTCATATTAACAATACTTTACATAATAATTCTCTTCTTTTATTTGCTGTAAAATTTTTTTTTTTGGAAACTACTAAAATACTAGCACGACGGCTTATAGAAGTCAACGCATATATTAAATATGGTGCAAGAAAAAATACGGTATAAATCGAGAAATATCGACATTGCTGTGAGTTTTGTGACATAGAGTATTCGTAGCCAAGTAGAATTTTAAAACAATATCGTTAAGACAATAAGACCAACTGAATGAAGATGGTGTATTTTCCAACTAAATAGCCGACGTTTTCATTGTATTTGGAGGAATTTCATAGCGAAAAGGAAGAATTCTCATCTTTCTTTTTATCTTTAATTTTTCGTAATGCTAATGTAGAAACGGGTATTCTTGCACGAAAAATTTGTACAAAATTGCTTTATATCACCTATGTAAACAACATTTCTCAGAAATTATTATTCTGAACAATTAATCAATTTCGGATGACAAAAAAAAAAAAAAACCAATAAGACCAACATTTAAGACGGCATCGTTATGGACACATGGAAAACGCGCTTCGTTATCGATTTGCGTTACACATTTAGTCACGTGATAGTTATGCGCCCTCACTTCATTATTATTCTTCCCCTTTCAACATTTCATTACTATTGTTCTTTTTTTTCTTCAACGCTGCATTATTATTCTAAGGATTTTTTCAAGATTGATTACTACTATTAATAAATGGATTAAAGTATCAACAATAAAGAAAGTTGCTGAATCATAATATCTCTCAACTTGGTTTAGGTACATCCAATACTAAACTAACACAATCCACATTAATTAACAAGATTCAATCAACAATATCTGCTTCACCAAAGTTTCGTTATCTATCTTTCTACTTATGTGATCCACTGTTTAGATCAACTGTCGCATTTCATATCTATTATATCTCATCTGTTGTAAACTCAAAACAATGTTTCACTTTGGGGGAGAAGAGAAAAGATGAATAAAGTATTTGATTTAAGGCAAAAAAAAAAAAGAAGTTGTATTCCTCCCACCTGGCCACCTCCGTTTCCATCTAGAAGATGTTTATCTATAACAATTAAATATTTTTATTTTTGGCCATAATTAGTTAAAAATTCAGCTAATGATAAAAAGACATTTACATAGTACAAATAGTCATAAACATCAAATTAAATTAGATTTTGCACAGAAAAACGAAAAATCTTTAAAAACACATATAAAATAGAACAATGTATATTATAGATTCTTCTAATGAAAGATGAAGTTACGTTATACACACATACATTAGTTATAGAAGGAAATCTAAATTTTCAAATTAAAATTACTATAGAAATGTATATATAATACAGAATAAATTGTGTAGATGGTCTAAACAATTAGGATTACTCAAAAAAGTGAATCACTTTGTAGTTCGTACCTCACATCAAAACAATTAATTGTTCGCACCGTTATGTTTTTTTAAACGAGTCTACTAAACTTTTTTTTTGTCAACCATTTGTGGGCGAATTGGAGTCGAACTCCTATGCTCAAGGATATACATAAGTGACATTATATTGCCACTAATTACATAAGTGATATACTCTCTCACGCCTTACTAGAGTATGTTTTATGTTTTATGTTCCAGTGATCGAACTACATTCGAAGAAAAGTACTCAAATCCTCCCTGAGATATTTGAGTTTGGTTTCCTGCAACTAGATATTTTTCTCTCATACAAGGGTCATTTGCTGCCCGTACACATGTGTATAATGAGTTGCTTTTAAATTTTAAGTATTAGATATATTGAGTTTTTTTTTTTGATCAAACTGAAATTGAATTAGAAAGATGAAATGTTACACTCCAATAAAGGAGGGAGAGTTAGCTGCAAGAAGGGCAGCCTTTGCGATAGAATCCGCTACAACATTGTCCAAACGAGGGACGAAATTGAAAGTGGTTGAAGAAAAAGATTCAATCAAACAAGTGATATCATGCAGGATAGCTTTGAGTTCCTTAGAGCTTGCTTTTGATTTGAGGGAGGAGATGAGGATTGAGAATCCCAGAACATCTCCAAGTGCTTGGTGTTGTCCAGAACCGGGTCCATGTTCAAGGAAAACAGAGCACTCCTTAGTGCCAGAGTCTATGCCATAAGTGCCTTGAGTCCGAGGACCTAGTCGGGGCGTTGCCTAAGGGGTCATAGCGGATCCATCCCAGACCAAACACCCGCGTAGTTGCACTCCAGGCTGCACCCACTTAGAGTTTTGTTTATCTATTAGCATTGTTAAGCTTTCTTTTTTAAAAATTTGATTTTCTATAAAATCTGTTTTCTCAAACACAAACATGTTGAACTAAAATGGATTATACAATATATAATCACGTAGTTAGAGTCGTAGAAACATAATATTTGCACTTCAACACTTACCAATAAACAATTGAAATCTAAGGATCCCAATGGTTACATCACAATTAGCTATGCGAAACAATAAGATCAGACGATTAAGCCAGAACGGACTAAAACAAGTCGAACGGAACAACAATTGACCTGTGATCATTGAGTGACCGAAACATATTGCATTTTTCAATATTGAAACATATAGTTTACACACATATACACCAATCCATGGTGGTCTTATTATCATTTCGGTTATAGAAACACGAGAATGGGTTCAAGTTCTTCAGTTATATAATCCAAACTTATGTGATCTTATTCTTCTTCTGCTTCTTTGCCCTATATTCCTTGATGTCACTTTCTACCTTGGCATTCACACGCGCTTGAAAACCGGGATATGGTTCATACCCGAAAACTGACTGAAGAACCTGTATTCATTCACACAATTCTACATTAACTTTTCAAGTTTTCTGGTTACGGTTTCCACAGCAGTAGTAAGAAGGTAGCAGGAGATAACAAACAAAACATATAACATAAAATCAACATCTTTTACCTCGAGCAACACGAAGAAAGGAGCCATGAGAAAAGCTTGGAGTAAATTGTCTAATAGCGCAGGTGCTCGTTTCTGTGAGTAGACAAGAATCAATAACATCTGTTTTAGGCCTCTTGAATACGGATGACAAGACGCAAAGGAGAATCAAAACAATGATTTCTAAAAGCCAAATGAACTTACCTCGAACACTCCATGGCCAACGAACTGCCCGGTCCAACATAACAGCTGAGATGCTAACCCAACCTGAGAAGAGACCGTTAAATTGTTACAGTATCTCTACATAACGGAGGGATTTCAACTAAGGGATTCGACAAGTATTTACTGTTTCCCCCTTTTCTCTTGAATAGATATAACAAACTAATCAAATGATTCAGACCACAGAAGATACATAGATTCTAATTATCTGAGACCATCACAACTGTTTGTTGTAAAGAACAACACATATGTCTAATTATCTGAGACCATCAAATCCTCTTCACTAAGAAGTCAAGAACACTACGAACATGACAAGTCTTAAGACCAAGGAATCAGAATCGTGCAAAAGTGGACAAATGCTGCAATAACTAATCATGAATGTTCAAAGCCAGAGACAGGATATTAGTACTGATGTCTCAACGTTAATAGCTAATGAAGGGACCCAGAGACAGAGATGAGGACTAATGATATAAATAAATCTATTTCTTCTTCCCTGAACCATAACCAATGATATAAAGGGGCTTTCAAGTCAAAGCATAGAAAACAATGAACAATAAATGCATGAACCACACTCACTTCATATAAATATACACAGAGACTAACACATGGATGCACATACTCTCTCATAAACATGCTCCTTGGCAATTATTTCCTCCAAAAAGATGATTTTTTTTTCTTTCAAAAACCCTAAATTAAGATTGGAGAAAAAAAAAACTGACCTTAAAGGCAAGAGAAGATCCTAATCGAGCAGCGAGAAAACTGGAACCAACCCAGCAAGAGAAACACATGAGAGCAGCTACAAATCCAGATTTCTTATCCAAACCAATGTAGAACAGAGCATAAATCAAGGTGAATATAAACCCAACGTTAAATCGCAGAACGCCGTCGAGGGTCAACGATTGAGAAAACCCTAATTGAGAAGGATCGAAAATTGGGGTCGATGAGTGGAGGAGAAGTAAAGCTGAGAAGACGATTGGCCAAACGAAGATGATGTGGATTAGAATGTTGATCGGATTGCTGTGATAAGCACCGTAGAAGGCGAAGTGTTTCTCGAGATCGAACAATCCCATCATGCGACTCATGGTGAATGAATTTTGAGGAAGAGGAAAGAGATAAGAGAGAGATGTTTTTTGAGGAGAAGATTGGTGGAAATTGGAATATAGTCACCAAACAGGGGAGATTAAAGACAGACACGGGAAGAAGACGAAAGTGGAAAGTTTGATTACCAATTTCCTGAAACGATGCTAACATGCGCTAGTTTTAAGCTAACATGCGCTAGTTTTAAGCTAACCTGCGCATTCAAGAATTCAAGCGATAGAAGTTGACTTTGCCGGAGATTTCTTTCCAACTTTGACTAATTAGTTGCTAAGAAGAGTAGACGTGTTATTGTGATTGCTAACATGCGCGAATAGAGAGTTGAATTAGATGGAATATATCATTTCAAAATTTTGCGATAGCTGCTAATATGCGCTATTCAAACGAATAATTAATGTACATTATTTGGGAAGAAGACGTAAGCGGAAAGTTTGAATTGACCGATCTTAGCAACTTTGGTGATGGTTACTAACTTGCACGTTTAGAAGAGTGAACGTGTTTACTGACTGCTAACCTGCACGAATCAAAAGTTTGTTGAGACGAGTAATTGAGTAAAAATAGGAAAGTTTGTTGTTGAATTTGCTGCAAATAACTTACCACTCTTAAAGGCAAATTGTTGTTATTTGCTGCTAGCTTGCGTTCTTTTAGAAGAGCTAATATGTGTTCTGTCATTGCTAAATTGCGCTTTTAAAACTAAAAAGAGTTTATGTGATTGCTAACATACGCATTGATGCTGTTGTTTTTTTTTTTTGTTTATCACAAGAGTGAAGAGTGGACGATACCAATTCCCTTATCCACACATTTTCTGCCTCAAAAAATCTAATCTTAAAAGTTAAAATAAATGAATAATAGAAAAAATATTGTAACAGTCTTTTCTCTCCTCCAGTGCCACCATCAAGAAGTAACAATGGCTGAAGCTTTCACAAGTTTCACATTCACAAATCTTCATATCCCTTCTTCCTCCAGTCACTCGGTACATATTATTCCATATTCTTACAAATTATTTCATTAGAAAAATAAATATACTTAAGAATTGTGTCTTGTGTTGTAGCCTAAGCAGATTTCAGGACCAAAACATGGATATTCGCTATCTGTAAGTAATTTTCTCTAACTAAGACTAAAATTAGAAAATTCTCCTTATTCTTGTGAATTTACGTTTTAGAATTTGAAAATTAGATGAAAGTTAATGAGAAGAGGGAAAAGAATTTGATGAGAGGAAGCTTATGTGTAAGAAAGGCATTGCCACATGATTTGCCATTAATGGCAGTGATGGTTCAACAAATAGAAGGAATGCGTGATATCATTACAGAGAAACACGTGTGGCATCTAAGTGATAAAGCTATCAAGAATGTCTGTAAGTAAAAAATTTGGGGTTTCTTGAGAGATTTTATAAATAATCTTTTTTCTTCTTTTTTTTTTGGCCAAATAAAGAATCTTTTTTTTCTTTGACTTGTTTTTTGATTGTTTGATATTGATCTTGATCTGGCAGATATGTTCTACATCATGTTCACTTGTTGGGGATGTTTGTACTTCGGTTCCGCAAAAGTATGTAAATAACTCAAATTGAATCTTTTGATCCATTTGCTGCATTGGGATCCTAATACTTTGTGATATATATTGGATAAATATAGGATCCATTCTATGACTCGGAGGAGTACCGTGGAGATGGAGGGGATGGAACTGGATATTGGGTCTATGAAACTGTAAGTATCTCTCTATCTTAATTTTGAAGAAAAAAAAAACACTTAGATATACATACAAATGATACCTAGGGAAACTGCAATGGAAAAACCCACCGTTGTCTTAGTAGTTAGTAGGCCATGCGGACCGGTTTGACCCTTACATATGTCTCTATAGCCAGCATACGATAAACCTCCCTAAACAAAGCAACATAGGTGGCTTTAGGTTAACGTTCCCGTTGGTATATTTGCTTTAAATGAACCCACAACCTTGGTCATCTAAAAAGAAATTACAATCTTTATGTTTGCATATTTGCATTTGCAGTTGCATTTACGTTTACTATATTTTTAGAAAATGATTCTACAAGCTTTTATCAACTTTACAAGTGTATATATGTTTGAATTTTACTGAAGTATTTATGAATATTGTTACTTTTTTCAATGAGAATTTTAATACAAAGCTTAACAGATCTGGTATATGGTAGGTAACAAACTAATTAACAATGCAACATTGATCCTACGGATAGATCAATCATGCTTAGTAAGGAGGTTGGGCCGGGTTGGGCTTGGTCGGGCCATAGACCTTTGGTTTATCACAGATTCACAATGTAGTAATGTACAACTATCATAAGATTGGGTAGTTTTGTTATTGTGTTTTGGCTTATATGATGCAGCAAGAAGACATAGAAGAGAAAGCAAGAGCAGAGCTATGGCGTGAAGAACTTATTGAAGAAATTGAACAGAAAGTTGGTGGCTTAAGAGAGCTTGAAGAAGCTGTTACTAAGTAGAAAACTAACTTGTAAATCATAAATCTAATTCACATACACATATATTTTGTCTTATATGAGTCATACAACATTATATATATATATATATATATTATATGTTATGTGTTTCTTTGTTGTGTTCTGGATCATTGAACGATCATGTTAGGAGCAATTGTCTCCATCAGATTTTTTTTTTGTTTCGAGTATTTTAAAATGTTGACGAAATCTGATTTTTTTAAAAATATAAATAATTATGTTTGGTAAACAATCTTAATTTGCTTTTCTTCGGTCCCAAGTTGGGTCAGAGTGATTATTTAATATAAATAATTTACTAATTGGTCGTATACACCGGAAAGTGATTCTTAGGCCTGCGACTTTGAGCCGAACGGTTAATTCGGATTCGGTTCTTCGGTTTTTCGGTTTATTCGGAATTTGAAACCTATTCCGAATTGAACCGACTAATAATTCGGTTCGGTTCGGTTCGGAAACGGTTTAGTCGGTTTTTGTAATTCGGTTTAGTCGGTTTTCTACCAAAAAGAAGAAAATTAAAATTATTACAAATTCAGAGCATTCATCATGAATATACAACAACAACTCAATAACTTGACATAAATGAAATACAATAGATACATAAGATCTTCCAAAAAACAATTAACCTGAAAGGAATGACAAAAAACCAATGATCCATTACGCCTAAGTTACTATAGAGCATGGATGCATTTGGTAAGTTGTCATTGTTCTCCTGACGCCAAAAGAGAAAGAGTTTGTTGTTCAAAAATCAAAAATAGAGAGAGAAAGAGACAAGCCTTTAAACCTTGAAGATCATATGTGTTTGTCGTCACCTTGTCTGTTAGGCAGAAAAATAAGAAAAAAACAAAACTGACTTGTTAATGAAAGACTAAAGTAAAAGATCGAGTGTACCTCAATTTCCAACTCCAATTCAAGGGCCAACTGATGATTGGGCATGAGTCTGTGAACCTACACAAGGCAAATGAAATGCAATTGAGTCTATAGTAAAAACCAAAAAAACTTAAAGACAGAATGATTACCTAAAGACTCATGAAACTCCAATTCTTCAAACATTTGAACCAAGTTTGCTAACTTCTCCTCATGAATGGTATTTCTAAGCCATTGTTGAGTGCAAATCAATGATTCAACCATGTGTGGTGACAAGCAACTTCGGAAAGGGTCCAAAATACGACCACTGGTGCTGAATGCAGACTCTGAAGCCACAGAGGAGACCTGAATGGCAAGCACATCTCTTGCTAACTCTGATAAGATTGGGAATTTAGAACTGTTCTTCCTCCACCAGCTTAAGACATCATAATCCAATCCCAAACCATTTATAGTTCTTGGCACTTGTTTCTCAAGCAAGTAAATGTCAAGTTCACTACTAGCTTCTTCATTTGCAGTCTCTGCTACCATCTCAGAGTACAAAGAGTCCATCCTCTCATAACCATCATCATCTGCCAAATCAAACAAGGCACTTACATCGGCTGCTTCTCCTTGATCACTTCTTGTTGCACCACTATCACCTTGAGAAGAGGTGCTCAGCCTCACCACATACTCCTCATATAGCTTTTTCATCACACCCCTAATCCCTGATCTAAGATGATTAGCTTCCAGGCTATCTTTCCCATACAGCTTGTCAAAACAAAGACTTGCAAATTGCATTTTGTTCCTCGGATCAAAAACACTTGCAATAATCACAAGCGGATTCATGTTGATAAGACCATCCCAATACTTCTCAAATTTAGCCCTCATCGCCATAGCTTCTGTCTTCAATAGTGTATCACTGTTGGTGCTTAGATTGATCAAATTTCTCTCAATGGTCACAATCTCATTGTAGCAAATAGAGGATGTCACTGATTTAGATGCTGAAAAGGATAGAGTGCAATTGAAAAAGATTTTCAGAAACTTACATAACCTTTGCACTTCTTCCCAGCTAGCAAAAGTCGGAGGACCAATTCGTTTGCCAGCATCCTCATCATCATCACCAGCAGCCTCTCCATTTTCCTCATCCTTTTCCATGAAATACTCATTATACAATTTATCCTCAGCCAACATCTTATCAAATGCACCCCTAAACTTGATTGCGGCTGTGAGCATAAGATAGGTGGAATTCCACCTAGTGACAACATCGAGGCACAAGCTTCCTCTACTTGCATTTCCTGTCTCAACCCTTGATTTAAAAGACTTGAGTCTGTCACCCGATGACCTCACATACTTGATAGCATTTCTGATAGCCATTATACTATGATTAGCCTTTGCTAACCCATCTCTAACTATCAAATTTAGAATATGAGCACAGCAACGCATGTGAAGGTACTCACCACCTTTTACTAACGCATAAGGATCTCGCATAATCAAATCCTCTGTGAACAACCGTAAAGCTTTCTCATTTGCTTTTGCATTATCTACAGTGACTGTGAAGACCTTCTTGATGCCCCATTCATCTAGGCAGCCAATCAAATGTGATGCAATGGTATCTCCCTTGTGATCAAGGACAGGCTTGAAGAGGGAGGTGGACCATCTTCTTCTCTATCAATCTCTTGACCAAGATTGTCATCATTGTTGTTTTCTGATTCCGACTCCATCTGCCAATTAAAAGAACAAACAATCAGACAAGAGATTACATAATCAAATGAATAACAACACATAAAAACAAAATGCTCAAAGCCAACTCATATCTATAGTAACGTTCATGATTAAATATGTGAAGGTATAGTCAGAGAGACAAGAGATGTGTCAAACGCCACCGCCACCGCCACCGTCGGAGGAAGAAGGAGGGTGAAAGTGGAAGTGGGAATCGATGAGATACAGAAGAAGAAGAGAGAGAGAGAGTACCAGTGTAAGAGATAATGGCGAAACGAGAGATTAAAAGAGAGAGAACTTACAAAACAACTACAATCGAACACTGGTGATGAAGATCGAAGTCGAAGAACACACGGAGTAACGGATGATGAAGATCGAAGCTCAATATCTCGAGTTTCGCCGCCTGAGAGAGAGAGACTGCGATTAGGTTAGGGTTTATTTTTTTAACAACTAATGCCTGATATAACGCTTATATACTTAGGGATAATTTTCGGGTAACCGTCGGTTATGTCTATTCCGAACCGAACCGAATGCATAACCGAACTAATTTTATAATCATTCCGATCGGTGCAAGTTTACAAATATGAACCGAACCGATTTATCCAAATTCCGGTTCCGTTCGGTTCGGACAAATCGGTTCGGTTCAATATCCCAGGCCTAGTGATTCTGATGAGAAACAATTAGCGGGAAATACGCTTCTGCACGATTTTACCTGACAAAAAACAAAACTAATCAATCTTTAAGAAATAAAAATAAGTTAGGAGAAGTGAAGAAGGAGAGTTTGTCATGTCTTTGTCAGTAACCTTCGTGCTTCCATGTTCCAAAGCCGCCTCTTCGAGCTTGTAAATCACACGTGTGGTTTATTGTTTGTTTTCTTTTCAAATTTAAGTTTAATTTTCAGATATTTTTTTTTTTTTGTGTGTGTGTGTTAGAAACACATGACAGGGGATATGATGTAACAATTTTTATTTAAACCAAAAAAAAAAATCTGCATGTAGTGTATTCTGTCGTGTGTCAATTAATTCTTATAGTTGTACAATTTTAATTCTGGCCCAAACATGATTGATGACTTGTTAATGACACATTTTACTATATTCCATTGTAATTATCTATTCGTTATAAATGTAATAGATAAATAGACAAAATTACATGTCAACAGCTAATAGATACTGTTTTGCACACAGATTAAGAAAACATTAAATTTTTTGTTTTTTCTAAACAAAAACATCATTAACTATATACCTACACATAATCTGCCCAATAGTAAAACAATCTGCAGAATACTAATAGTCATAAAACATAAAAAATCATTAAATTTTGCATTAAAAACCTAAAACGACACTCTTTGTGAAACAAAAATAAAACCTTAAAACGACACTCTTCATAAAACATGAAACGGAGAGAATACTATATAATTTTATTACAAAATTACATGTCAACATTTTTTTGTCCTTGAGCATTCTAGAACGAAGAGAAAGAATCAACCAGGACCGAGTCCCTTTACTTACCAATCTCTCTCTTCATTACACGCCAACGAAGACTTAGCTGTCTTTTTATCCACATGTGCATTGTATTGACCTAGTCTCCGTCACAGCTCCCATTATCTCCACGTGGCACTCAATGATGTCTCATTCTCGACTTCATACATCACAGCCCCGTGACCAAACGATTTCCCCAACTGAGATTTTTTTTACACTGCACAATTTCAGACAGATCTGTGTACCTTTTTTTTTTTTTTTTAATTACCACTAGACGTGTCCACTGCGTGTACTGTACCGAGTAACAAAAAGAGAAAATAAGAGGAATGAGAACACACAACAAATCAAATTATAGCTTTATTTTGTCACATTTTTAAAGCTTTATTAATGAAAATTAAAAAGAAAAAGAAATGATCTAATACTATTGAATGTTTCTAAAGCAGATACATTAAAATACGCGGTCAAAATTCTCGCTTTATAAACACATCTCTTCTTCTTCTAGCTTTCATCAATCATCATCACTCTCTCTTAATCCAACAAAAAAAAAAGCCTTTTATTTTCCAAGTCTGAGAATTTTCTACAGAAACACAAATCTGGTTTCCTCGAGAAAATAGTTTCGATATTGCATCTGTTCTGAGGATGCCAGCTACGGATTTTCAAGGATCATTTGGAAGGTCGTTGCTAAGTTTACGGCGAGACCAAGTTGACTCAACAACACTCGTCGCCGGAAGTAGTAGCCTCCACGAGCCAAGCAACATGGAGGTTGAGCTAGATTCGTTTCAAAGACAGGTCGCCGAGAAATTCATCGATCTCAACGCCTCTTCATACGACCTTCTCTCTCTCGAATGGATCGGCAAGCTTCTTGATTCTTTCCTCTGTTGTCAAGAAGAGTTTCGAGCTATTGTATTCAACCACCGATCTCAGATCTCAAAGTCTCCGATGGACCGATTGATTTCAGATTACTTCGAACGGAGCATCAAAGCTCTCGATGTCTGTAACGCAATCCGCGACGGAATCGAACAGATCCGTCAATGGGAGAAACTTGCCGACATCGTTATCTCTGCTTTAGATAGTCACCGTCCGATCGGAGAAGGACAGCTCCGGCGAGCTAAGAAAGCTCTGATTGATTTAGCAATCGGAATGCTCGACGAGAAAGATCATCCTTCTGGAACCAATCTAGCTCATCGGAACCGTTCATTTGGAAGAGTCAAAGACAGTCACCACCGTTCGATTGGACATTTCAGATCTCTTTCTTGGAGTGTTTCAAGATCATGGTCAGCTTCTAAGCAATTACAAGCTTTGGCTAATAACTTAGCAACGCCTAGACCAAACGACGTCGTTGCGAGCAATGGTTTAGCTGTACCGGTTTACACGATGACTTCGGTTTTGCTTTTTGTGATGTGGGTTTTGGTAGCTGCGATTCCTTGTCAAGACCGTGGATTGCAAGTTAACTTCTTTGTCCCTAGGCATTTCCAATGGGCAGCTCCGGTTATGTCGTTGCACGATAAGATTGTTGAGGAATCTAAGAGACGAGATAGGAAGAATTGTTGTGGTTTGCTTAAGGAGATTGATATGATTGAGAAGAGTTCGAGGTTGATGAATGAATTGATCGATTCGATTCATTTCCCGTTGAATGATCAGAAGGAGATTGAGGTGAAACAGAGAGTTGATGAGCTTGTTCAGGTTCGTGAAGCTTTGAAAAATGGTTTGGATCCGTTTGAGAGGAAAGTTAGAGAAGTTTTCCATCGGATTGTGAGAAGCCGAACCGAGAGTCTTGATTCTCTTTGATCTTGAACATGTTTGTCCGAATATGATCATGTTTGGATTTTTTTTTGTTTTCTTCTTCTTCTTCTCTATTTATCCTTTTTGATCACTTGTAAAAAAGAAACTCAAAGAGTGTAGAAGTGTCATCTTCTTAACTCTTTGTGATGCTTATAGTGATTATGTTCTTTGCGAAGCTACTTGCTTAGTTTGTTGATAGATTGAAGTTAAATTTTTCGATGAGCAGTAACAAATACTTCATTGAATATGAAAGATTACATTCAAGAAACAAAAGAATCTTTATTGAGAGAAGAGATTCAACTATCGGGTATGTTTTACACAATTCAAATGGGACATACAAAAATCTACAACACAATAAACTTCAGTTTCTCATCTAATCTTCAAAATCTTCTGTTTTCTTGAGTCCAGCTTCATGTTGGTAACGTCCTACTTCATTTCTTGCAAGTGATTCTTCCTGCAAATAGAGCTTCAAATGTATCCGAATCAATTCTATGATTAACGATTAGAACAGGACAAACATTAAAGGTATATAATAATAACCAGTTGTAGACAATTTTACTAAACAGTTAATCAAGGTTTGCCTCAGAAATAAGTGATACTCATCACTGAAAATCTGATAATACGTGCAATTGTTAAGGCACATCATTGGCAGAACCAACAACCCAATTTTTTTTTTTAATCACTAATGAGTATTAAAACAAAACAAAACAACAAACAAAATTGTTATCAAAAAAAAAAAAAAAAAAAAACAACAACCAAATAAAAACTGAACAACACTAGATCAAAGTTGATAATATTTAAAATAGACATGTGCATCAGAGAGATTCCCATCTAGACATTAGTCATCATTCTCATCTCCTAACTAGGAGACTCTGATGTCCCTGTCTTTTCATCATCACTTGCGTTAATCAGACAACCAAATCAAAGCAGAAACTAGAAGAGCTACGAAAACCAAATCATTAATAAGCTCAGAGAGTCCAGAGTAAAACAAGAGAAATCAGATGTGTAAAGAGAAGGAAAAAAAATGCCTCAGAGTTGATTTTTTTTCCTAGAGAGTAGAGACGCATCTCTCAAAGTATATTTAACACCATCACAGGCATCAAAATCACACAAAACCAAAAATTCAGATAAACAATAACATCCAAGAAACTTGCAAAAGATCGAATCTCAAACCATAAACATTGGTCAATTCTAGGGTTGATCGAGAAAGTGTTAAATAGACGAATTGCAGGAATAGAGGCGGAGCTAATTAGGGCAGAGACAAGTCAAAGGTATTAATGGGCTTTCTACTTTGGCCCAACTAATAAACATGTTAAATCAATTAAGCCAAAACCGGTTTGGTTTTGTCAGTTTGGATCGTTTTTTAAAGCAATTGATTAAGCAAAACCGGTTTGGTTAACCTTGTCTCTCTCTCTAACACACAGCACACAATTCCGTTGGTCGACGTCTTAAGTTTCCCAGCGAAATCAAAGGTTGTCCCTTCGTCTGCTTCTGTGAGCTTTCTCTCTGTTCCACCATTAATCTTTCCCCTTTTTCTCTTATTCAAACTTTTTCTTCTTCTTCGGGACAAATTTTTTTGGTGCCTTTTTCTTTCTTTCTTCCTTCCTCCATGATCTTTCTCTTCTTTGTGACTTCGCCTCCTCTGTGCTCATTTTCATGAATTCTTCTCTTGTTTCGACGCAAAGACCCATATTTTTCTCTGTTTCTGCTGCGAAAGACCCTTTTTAAAAAAAAATCTTCCGTTACAGTGAATTTTGTTGTCTAGAGAGAGACTCTGTGTCCGAATTTAGACGTCCCCCATCTTCAAAGATTGAATTTTTTCTGCTCTTCTTCTTCTTCTTCTTCTTCTTCATCTTTTATAACCAATCCCTTGCTATAAGTAATTCATCAGGTGATTGAAGTGAGTATTCGAAGAACAAAATGTTAATCCTTTGAAATTTCGATTCTTTCTTTATGGGGATTTTGATGGTGTTTTGTTTTTTTGTACAGGATGGGTAGGGTTAAGTTGAAGATTAAAAGACTTGAGAGCACAAGCAACAGGCAAGTTACATACACGAAGAGAAAAACTGGGATATTGAAGAAAGCCAAAGAGTTATCGATTTTGTGTGATATTGATATTGTCCTTCTTATGTTTTCTCCTACCGGAAGGGCTACTGCTTTCCATGGAGAACACAGGTATAAATTATCAAAAATCCTTCTCAAGTTTTGTTGCTCCTTTTATCACCTTTAGTTTTCTGTTCAATGCATCATATCTCCATTTTTGGATGCATTGTATAATCTTCTCATTGCTCTTCTGTCCCAAAAAGAAGAAAAAGTCTTATTGGTTTTAGCTGGAATGGTGAGAGTATTGAGAAGATCACAGATTAGGAGTATTTTGAAAGTTGGTTTAGTTGGGAGCTTGGGAGAGATTAGGGACCCTAAAACAAACCCTAGTTTTCTTATAGTTTCTTTCAGTTATCAATTCTCAGATATTCTTCTTCGTTGTTTTCCTATACTTAAGTACTAAAGAGTGATTTGGCTTCCTGAATCTTTCAGAGGGATGATAGATTGAGGTTCTGTATCCAAGTTTCTGGCAATATACTGATTTGAGTCTTAACTTGGCTTTTGTGTAGTTGCATTGAAGAGGTTATTTCCAAGTTTGCGCAATTAACTCCACAAGAAAGGACAAAAAGGTATGGTAAGCATTATGTTACAGTTTGGATTACTTTTGTATCCAAGTTTCTGGCAATATACTGATTTGATGTAATTTTGTGTTATGAAACTAAATTGAAGTCTCTTTATTTTAATATTACAGGAAACTGGAGAGCCTTGAAGTAAAGACATAAAAACTCAATGAGTTTCTTCCTTTCTATATCATCAACGTTTTGTTTTGTTTGAAACTCAAATTTGTACTGATTTGTTTTGCTCAATTGCAGGCATTGAAGAAAACTTTTAAAAAACTGGATCATGATGTAAATATACATGACTTTTTAGGAGCAAGGTACTTGCCATGAGTTCTTTCAATTAATAACCATATTTTGTCATTGTAAGCCTCTCACATATCAGAGATGTTGTCTTCTTTATCCTGCAGGAATCAAACTATTGAGGTATGGATCAACAATCTTCGGTTCTTGAACTTCCTTAGATACTTTTTTTTTTTTATATAACTTCCTTAGATACTTTTTAATCTCTTTGAGTCAAATTTCTAAAGTCTGTGTTAACATGACCACATGGCAGGGTCTAAGTAACCAAGTAGCGATTTACCAAGCTCAGCTAATGGAGTGTCATAGGAGGTTGAGGTGTGAAAATTTATAGTGTCTTGAGTTATAAAGTTTTTTGCTTCTTGAAATATAGTTTCAATCATATTTGAGTCTTTTTCTTCTGGTGGCTGTTTTCAGTTGTTGGACGAACATCGATAGAATAGAAAACACTGAGCACCTCAATTTATTGGAAGAATCATTGAGGAAATCTATTGAAAGAATCCAGATTCACAAGGTGCCTTATCATATTTTTCCTTTTACTCGGTCATATAGACCTAAGATTGAGGATTCATTTCAGTTTCCTGAACCCATACGAAATTTGTTTACGAAGATGTTCCATTCATTTTTCAGGAACATTACAGAAAGAACCAACTTTTGCCAATAGAATGTGCAACAACACAGGTTATAACCATTTTGTCTCCTTCCCTCTCTCTTTCTATCCTCAGGACATATTATTAACCAGACCAAAGTCTTTAACTGCAGTTTCACAGCGGGATACAGTTGCCTATGGCGATGGGAGGTAACAGTAGTATGCAAGAAGCTCACTCGATGTCCTGGCTTCCTGATAATGATAACCAGCAAACAATTTTACCTGGTGATTCCAGTTTTCTTCCTCATAGGTAAGAGTCTAAGTCACAATTTTAAAAACCGTTTCATTATAAAAATGATTACTCAAGTCATGCTCTACTGTTTTCAAACAGAGAGATGGATGGTTCGATTCCCGTTTACTCAAGCTGCTTCTTTGAGTCTACAAAACCAGAAGATCAGATATGCAGCAACCCGGGACAACAGTTTGAACACTTAGAACAACAAGGAAACGGTTGTTTAGGTTTACAACAGCTTAAAGAGGAATATTCATATCCTACACAATTTGGTACTACTTTGAGAATGGAAGACGATCAAGAGAAAAAGATAAAATCTGAAATGGAATTGAACAACTTGCAACAACAACAACAACAACAACAACAAGATCCTTCAATGTATGATCCCATGGCTAATAATAATGGTGGCTGCTTTCAGATTCCTCATGATCAGTCCATGTTTGTCAATGATCATCATCATCATCATCATCACCATCATCAAAATTGGGTTCCAGATTCAATGTTTGGTCAGACTTCTTACAACCAGGTTTGTGTTTACACCTCCATTGGAACTATGTAGCTAGATGATCCACTAAACTGAATATGTCTCTGTATCTTTGGTGATTGCAGCAACCGAACTAACTCAAGACATGGCTCATGTATGTATGATGACTGGACTTATGCCTGACCAAGGACTAGTATGAGCCATTGCCTACAATGTCCAAGATAAATATATATATGTAGAGAGAGAGAGAGAGAGAGAGAGAGAGAGAGAGAGAGAGAGAGAGAGAGAGAGAGAGAGAGAGAGAGAGAGAGTGTGTACATGTTTTTGTATGTGTGAGCTTGTGTCATATACTCAGGGGAGTTTTAGGCATTTTGTGTATAAGAGATGTTGTCTAGGAACCATATATTATGTTTTACAAGAATGATAAATATAATTACCAATTTATTAATGTTTTTATAGATGTTGGCCAAGTGTTTGAGACCAATATATTGTTTCTTTCTTCCTCTTCTTAATAGTAGCTTTTCAAAACTCTTTTGTCACAAAACAAAAGGATTGAATTTTAAGATAAAAAAGAAACTCATAATGATCACTCTATCAAATCTAACTATATGCAACTCATGCAATTATCATGAACAATTCCACGAACAACTCCACGACGTGCAACTCTCCCTGCAGCACTATGATCTCCTACCTAACGCTTCTTACTTATGTCATACCAACGATGGACAGTCTTACTTACTACAGTCGACACTAAGACGGATGGCTCTGCCTGCAACATTATGGGACTTCTGATTAGTACTGACTTTGTTGCCAAACTAGTTAATTAAAAAAAAAAATTATATTAACCGACCCAAAAGGGCGTTACTAACTCATTTGACCCATCCTTTGGGTTGTTCACACAAAAAAATCTCAAAAGAGCGTTACGAACGAGGTTACATTGGCAAATACATGGATACAAAACGGAAAAAGAATATGTTTATTCAAAATTTAAGAAAAAAAAAAAGAATTTATAGAAAACAATCCAAAATGCGTTACTAGCTCATTTGACCCAAAATTTAGAATAATTGACCCTAAATCCGGAAAGTCGGCCATTTCATACACAATCTAAATAGCAGTGTTCAATTCATACATGACAGTTTACTCTGTGCCAATACATACCTGATCTTTTAAAAATTTTAAATTTTATACCCAAACTTATCAATTCGTGCGAAATCACACATCTCTTGTCTCTACTGCTGACGTGGATGCCACGTAATTGATGACGTTGATGACGTCGTTGATGACGTTGATGATGTGGTTGATGACAGTGATTTGAATATTTTTAGAAGAAGAATTGTGAATTTTGAGTTTATAAACTCGGTTTAAATATTAGTTTCGGTTGAAATATTAGTTATAAGTTTCGAAAAGAAGATTTTAAATTCTTACATCAAATATATAATTTTTTCACAGTTCCGTCAGATGATAGTGATGGAATAAAAAATGAGAAGAGAAAAAAAATTAATTTTTATTTTTGTTTAAAATGATGATGATGTGGCAACAATGTCATGAAGAACGTGGCAAACACGTCATAAACGGCGTGGCATCCACGTCAACAGTAGAGACAAGAGATGTGTGATTTCGCACAATTTGATAAGTTTGGATATGAAATTTAAATTTTTTAATCGATTGGGTATGTATTGGCACAGAGTAAATTGTCATGTATGAATTGAACACTGTTGTTTAGCTTGGGTATGAAATAGCCGACTTTCCCCCTAAATCCAATCTACAGGTACTGATTTTGTTGCTAAACTAGTTCATTTTTCTTAAATTTAATTAACTATATTAATCAACCTAAAAAAGCGTTACGAACCAGGTTTGACCCGATCTTTTAATTTAAAGTTATTGACAAAAAAGCCCAAAAGAGCGTTACGAACGAGGTTACAACCGCAAATACATGGATACAATACTGAAAAAGAATATGTTTATCCAAAATTTAAGAGAAAAAAGGAATTTATAGGAAACAATCCAAAATGCGTTACTAGCTCATTTGACCCAAAATTTAGAATAATTGACCCTAAATCCAATCTACAGTCTGATACTGATTTTGTTGCTAAACTAGTTCATTTTTCTTAAATTTAATTAATTATATTAATCAACCTAAAAAAGCGTTACGAACAAGGTTTGACCCGATCTTTTAATTTAAAGTTGTTGACAAAAAAAAGCCCAAAAGAGCGTTACGAACGAGGTTACATCGAAAAATACATTGGGTACGTACAAAACGGAAAATGACTCCGGCGACAACACCAAACTAGTTCATTGATCTCCACATGGCAACTTGAAACGACACAATGGACAATCGTGATTAGTCTCACACCACGTTAGGACACACTCATCGTCAAATTCATGTCCGCAAGGCAAAGTCACAACTCTTCTTCCATCATTAAACTCTTCCAAACAAATTGTGCACCTTTCACCCGTAGAACTAGTGGTCGTCTTGTATATTTTCCTGGCTAAAGACTTGACCACGAGCTTGCTTGCGGGTCTCATCAAACTGATATTAGTGGTCTCCTCCAACGAAACTCGGACAGCTTCATCAATCTGATCCTGTTCTTCAATCGAAACCTCTTCTTCAATCTCATCCTCTTCTTCAATCGGATCAGCGTCAGGGAAAAGAAGCAAGGACACTAGGAAATCATCCCCCGGATAATAGTTACCGCTTGAGGGATAAGTTACTCCAGAAACATAGAGAATTAGCTCAAATAACGCAGATTGGATATCGTCTTCGTTAATTAGCTCTGAATCCACCAAGAAATCATTAAACGCTACTTTGTTGTGACACAGATTGTGTTGTTCAACGCGGAATTCTTCGACAAAACATGAACTCGTAAATGTCAAATCGTAACCGTCGATCTTTGCATTGATTGTGATTGTGCCGGCGTTTTCTGGTTGATGATTGCGTATGATATTGTGGTACAAATCTATTATCATGATTGATTGAAGAAAGAAGACGATGATGAAATAATAAAATAAGAAATCAAAATGTTGATGGAATTCGTGTGCGGGTTATGTTGTTGCCACAACGTTATTTATAGAGGATTGAGGATTCTGCATGCATTTTATTTACTGGCGGGATTTGGGAACATATTTATTATTTTTCATTTTTTAATACTATAAATCTGATTTACCATTTTTTTTTTTTGTATATCACATTATAGGATTTAAAAAAGAAATACCCATGGAGGATTTGAAGTTAAGTCCTAATTCAACGATCTATATTAATGGTTTTTAATTTATATTCAGTTTCTATTGCTAAAATCAGCAAGATAGACTTAAAATTTTATGCAAATCTATCTACATATATATGAACAATACTTTTATTTTGTAAATCCATTATTTTTCAGAAAAGTAAAATCCATGATTAATTAAATATTATATATTTAGGTAATCGACGGTTTCATTTTAAAGTTGTATAAACATTTGATCGGTGACATTAATATTTTGAAATCATTGAAAAATAAAAATGAATTAGCTTAAAAAATATTATATTTAGTTAAGCAAGAAAATCTTAACTCAATTAAAATATTATAAAAAGGCATATATCTTGTTTGGTATTGATATATTTACGCATAATGAACAAATAAAAATGTTTACATATTAACAAAAAAGCGTCATTTGATATAAGTTGAAGTTGTTAACAAAAAAAGAATTTTAATTAGATAACTAGGGGAGGTCCCCGCGCCCAGCGCGGGGTTGTATGTTGATTAAGACCAGAATTAATAATTAATATTTAGGGTTATCAAGTTAGGGATATTTATTGAATTAATTTTGTCAAGAGTCTAATTTTTATAACGACATTAATATAGAATTATGGTAAAACGCTATAACTTTTGATATATAATATTAGTAATCAACAATTAATAGTGTTTTTGAATCACAAACAATTATTAGTGTTTATATCTTGATATATATAATAGAATTAAATATAAAAAATCTATATATTTAAACCAACAATATATTAGCAACGTCCCGACCGCCACTGTCCATGGGTTCCCACGTCCAGTCTCGGTCTTTAGGCCCATCTTCTTTGTTTTGTCGTACTCTTGATTTTATGACATATTCATGCTTACTTGTTTCTTTCATATTAGCAACGCCCCGACCGCCACTGTCTGTGGGTTCCCACGTCCAGTTTCGTTCTTTGAGCACATCTTCTTGGTTTTGTAGTACTCTTGGTTTTATGACATATTCACGCTTCCTCGTTTCTTTCATATTTGTAACGCTCCGACCGCCACTGTCCGTGGGTTCCCCACGTCCAGTTTCGGACTTTAATTTGGGCCCATCTTCCTGGTTTTTGTTGTATTCTTGATTTTATGACATATTCATGCTTTTAGATTGTATGTCACTGGAGTTTTTCGTAGTTGGAAACAAATAATTGAAAAATATAATCTCTTACCATATCTCTTACCTATCAAGTAAGTCATCTTGCTCTTTGAAGTAGTTATGTACGTAAAATTTCAATGGTATAGAAACAGGCATCTCCTTTGTATATATCGTGTCATATTTATCGTCCCTATTGTAGTATCTTTGTCTCTACCTTCGCCATTGGTCGCTGCGTAACCCTTTAGTTGATCTCTTGTTTATAAAAACCATATAAAAAGTTGTAAGAGAAATATCATTTTCTTAACTGTATCGTATATGTATTTGTAGTATATTGATCTGAGATTGCAAAGATGTATGCCTATCAAGAAGCTCTTAGCAAAGTAAACACTGAAGATAGGTACTAAAAATGAGAGGGTTACAGAGAGCAAGTATCTATCCCTTAGAAACCACTGTGTGCAACTGAGAATAATTCATATATGTACATACATACACATGTATACAACGTATTGAAGCTTTTAAATTTAAATATCGAATGCTACAAAACTGGAAAATTGCTTGTGGAGAAAGCAATATGAACATGGCCACATATATAACAAATAACCGATTATGCTTGTCGTAGATCATTCTCTTTCAAACCAAAAGTTTTACCTAAACAACATATCAAGTGACTCACAAGAGATACATAAGAGCCATATCCTAAAAATATCCGGCAAAGCAAAAACGCTCCAGGTTCGAGAAGGAAGTCATTGGAAAATTTGAGTATATACCAAACTGGAGAGTAATTCGGCTACAAAGAGAGATGTGTTGGCTTTGAAGAAAAAGCTATGTGATGCTCTACCTTTTATTTATGAATTTTATGCTATGAATATATGTTTTTGTTAGGGTTCAACTTCAGTCTCCGGATTAGAGACTTATATTCATCCGACAAACAATTCAATGTCACAATCAACGCTACAAAATTGGTGGGTTCTCTCTATTAACAAACAAAAAAAAAATTTTGGGGTATATATTTTTTTTTTGTTTTGTTAGATCCATACGACGAAGAACATGACGAAGAACACCAAAAATTCTCATCAATCCGGTACGTTTGATCTTATTTTTATTAGTTTAACAATTACGGTTATGTCCGAATCTGAAATAACCATGGCTCCAGACTCCTTCACACCATGGCCACATATCACCGGAGTGGAGACGATTTCAAATTCGGAGCTTCTCTTCGCATATAAAATCATACATATGGTCTCTTTGTTTTGGGTTCCCTCTACAATAATTAGTACATATTTCAAAACTGAGCTACAAAAGAGCACATTGGATTTTGGTAAACATCAAGATTGCTTCCTACCTTCCAAGAAACATGATAGACTAATTCACATCCAAGACCAAACATTAGCCACATAAAGCTTGAATCAAATTAAACGATCTTAGGATGCTCTTCATAATCCGTAAGTTAAAGAGACTTGCATTAATATTGCAAATTAGACTCTAGAGGTCCACAATGGTTAATCAGAGTGTATCAAAGACGACGAATAAAGCATGAATTAGAATATCAGCAGAGGAAGCACACAAATATTCAATAAACGTAATCAATCACTGAGAATAGCATGGACCCAACTTTTGAAAGATTCATAAAAAAGGAAGATTTTTCCTATGCAACAATATTCAAACAATGAGAAGATCAATGATTGATGACTAACCATACAACCGAAGCAAAGCCATAAACAGAAACGAAAGTACTAAAGAGCCACAACAGCAGTGATACGACATTTGTTTCCTCGCACTGGAAACAATGACGTGCTTCCATAAATCCAATCTAGTTTTTATCGAAAACAAACCTGCATTCATAATAAACACTACTATTAATTATTATTTTTTATGCAAGAATTAAATGGCAGTATAAAAAATTCAATGGTTAGTGCCGAAAAAAAAAGCAAGGATTAGTTATGATATCAAATCAAAATTAAATATCAAGCAAGGTATTTACATAAAATTAAGGCAGTGGAGGATCTAAGAATTTTTCATATGACAATATCTACAACTAAACAAAGAAAATTTATATATTTTTAAAACAGAATCATTATTTGTTTTTTGGTAAGATTAAAACCGAATCATTATCATATTAGTAAAATTATCATTTATTTATTATTATCCACGTTAATTTAAAAGTTTAAGAGAATATCTGCTTTTTTCTCATAAAAGGATGGAATAATAACATAACTCTTTTAGATTTATAACTATATTTGACATTATCATATTAAATCTATTAAGATAAATATATTTCTTTTTGAAAAATATAAATATAATGATAATATAATTATTATAGATTTACAATTATATTATTATCCATGTCAAAATTTTAAAACATTTTACTTTTTTCTCACATAGGAAGATAGAACAATAACGTAACAGTTTAAGATTTACAACATAAAAATAATATCAGAATTGGAACGCCAAATCATAATCAACACAATTAACACAACTCTAATGGGAAATTAGAGTTATCTTGTGATTAAAATACTAAACAAACAAAACTAACCGAAACAAAACAAAAGTCTTCCTTTCAAAATCATTAACGTGACGGATTGCTGACTGATTAAGTTGAAGTTTTAGGCATTTAAAGATCTAGAAAGATGATTAAGGTTAAACATTTTTATTTATTTTAAACAACGTTTGAATGTTGACAAAAAAAGAAGAAGAGAGTGTTGGGACCATCGGGAGAGACAACGTTGAGCAGCTGCGAAAGAAGCCAACGTTGTCTATTATGTTCTTCACAGTGTTTGATTTGACTTTTGATGACATTACACTCCTGTCCACTTGTTGTCTCGAAAGTTCATGCAATGGAAAATTATTAAACAAAACAATTTACTTTTATGTATAAATCCTAGGAAAAAACCGATCAAGCTAAGATCAATGGTTGTGGTTTTAGTACCGTATACTTCTCAAATATACCCGTTGAATAACGGAAATCCGCAAGACGGGGAGGAGACGAAGTCAACCTAGCTGGCAAAGGAGCTAACCCAGCTCCTTTGGTCTTATTTATGGTCATATGTATTTAGCAAAATATGGTATACAAACCGAACCAATCAACAACAAAACCTGGTTTTAAATTGTTGTATATTTCTCAAAAGTCAAAACCCATAATAACCAATGGAACAGAAGAAGCTAATGCAGAGCATACTTACGCTTGGAGTAAAGAGTGATGCAAGCTTCCATTGGCACACCCGAAAACGCATCAGAGCATGGAAAGAAACCTAAAAACCAATAAATTAAACAATAATTAAACCTTAGTGCATGGAAAACGAATCCTATACATACCAAAGTCCGAATCTCAGTGCCTTAGAATGACCTCGATACCAAAAACTTTAAGTTACTACTTCCATATATGTAATATTTTAGTTTGGGGAGAGAGATTGGCAACGAAGAGTAATTCCTGAATTTAACAGCCAAGTTTGTTATCCCTAATCTAAAGAGAGGAATACTTAAATTGTATTAACAACAAAAATTAGCCTCCTCTGAAGATTCATCCCTGAAATAAGTCATCTTTCTGACTTTGTGGCAACTGTGTTATCAAAAGTTGAGTGTTTCTTCTGAAAAAAGACATATTTGAAAATAATAAGAACATGTACCTCAACAAAATCGGGAGGTACCTCATCTTTTTACAACAAAAAGAAACATACCAAACCATCGATGATTACCTTCTCAAAAGTTGAAACCAAATTTTTTGATTATAAAAATTGATTAGTGGTGAAAATAGTGAAACCATAAATACAAAAAAA